TTATTAAGGAATGTCTCTCAAAGTCTTTGAGTTTATAGTAGTTTAAACTGACAGCGTTCCACAATGAAGAATGCAGGGAATATATGTACCTAAAGATTTGGGCTCGTGTCCTGGCAGATCTTGAGCAAGATATCAAGCCTCTAAATCTCAGTTTTCTAATCTTTGGAATGGAGTTTTTTCAACAGGATGCCCAGACATTGTAAGATTTTAAAAGGTGAGGAAAAGCTATTGTTTCAGTCTAGAACAGCGGTTCTCAACCTGTGGGTCGCGACCCCTTTGGCGGTCGAACGACCCTTTCACAGGGGTCGCCTAAGACCATCCTGCATATCAGATATTTACATTACGATTCATAACAGTAGCAACATTACAGTTATGAAGTAGCAACGAAAATAATTTTATGGTTGGGTCACAACATGAGGAACATTAGAGGGCCAGAAGTTGAGAACCACTGGAAGAGGCAAAAAATTGACTACTCATCGATGTCACCGTTTGTTCTGATGAAATGAACCCTTTATAAAAAGTGAAACTCACAGTTTCCTGGGTCATGGAGAGCACTTTGAGGAAACCTACATGCAGATGTTCTCAGCGGAGAACTGGACGAGGTGTTCTCGTTAGTAACATAGTTGTTGACTTCTGAGATTGTGCTTCATCCCTTCCTGCTGTGTCTCTTCTGAGGTGGAGGTAATGTCTCTTGTCTTTCTACATGAATCTAAACCAATTAAAGCAGCCTCTTGCTTGTACCTTTAAAAAAAAGCGGGGGGGGTGGGGTATTCTTGCCAGAGAAACTACTATCTAGAAATCTGAAACGGAGGCCCTAGAGACTACAAGGGTGTTCACATCTAGAAAGTAAGGACAATGAAACTCACCTTGGAATGTGGTTGTGGGAATTAAGTAAGCTAATGCACGTAAGGCTCTGGCACATAACAGATACGCGATCGTGGTAGATATTATGAATATAGCCAGTATTGTTTTCCTAAGCCCTACCGTGGTCTCTTTCTCTGGCAGACATCAGAAGCGGCAGAAAGCAGGACAGCTCTCAGCTCTCCGTGGGCAGCCCTGTGCAGGTGCTGTCCTTCGGTCCCACCTTCCCCCTGGGGCATGCACCTGCAACCCCTGGGCAGGGCTCTGGGAGGCATCTGGACATGGTTAACAGCAGTGGTGAGAACCAAAAGCGGTCTGTACACTCAGCATTCTCTCAGGGCTGGCTCAGGGAGGCATGTCACCTGGAGTTCAGCAGAAATGTACGCAGGGGACATTCCCTCGGGCCCTCGTTTAAACAGGCTTGCGTTCACTTACTGAAGCTTCAAACAGAAGAGCTTCAGCAACAGGAGGCAAAGGTATACTGCTACCAGGGAGCATGCCCAGGGAGGTGCTATCTTGATTTGTACTCTCTGATTGTTTTAACCTCAGTAAATATTCTGCCGTTTAAGTAAATGACAACTAGAGTAGGAGCATGAACACAATGCTGGGCCCCATCTTCCAAGGGCTTACGAGATGTGAGTCATGGAGGAATTGGGGTAATGGGAGCACATGGGAGTTTCCTCCGGTTATTCATATAAGGAAATAGTAATCAAGGTGACCCTCAAAGTACAAAGGGACAGCAGGTGCAACTAGCCGTCCGGAGGAGTGGGCCATGCAATGGAATAGTCAGGCAGCTTGGGGTACCCATGATCATAAATTTAAATGGAGTCCAGTGGCATGGTTGTATTTTTTCAACCAACGTTTTTACAGGTGAAATAGTCAGAGCTTGTTTTTTTTTGTTTTGTTAGTTGTTTGTTGTTGTTAATCCTCACCCGAGGATATTTTTTCCCATAGAGAGAGTGGAAGGGAAAGGGAGAGACAGAGAGAGAGAGAAACATTGATATGAGAGAGACACATCGATTAGTTCCCTCCGGCATGCACCCTAACAGGAGCTGGGGGTGGAGCCTGCCACCAAAGTCTGTACCCTTAATCAGAATCAAACCCAGGACCCTTCAGTCCACAGGCCGACACTCTAACCACTGAGCAAACTGGCTAGGGCTAGACAGAGCTTGTTTTAATTGGAGTTAGTACTTTGGCAGGCAAATACTATAGAAGGAAAGAGGGGCAACAAAACGGGGTGTATTCGAGGACCATGAATTGAAGTTGCCTAAGGAGGGAAGTAAAGGTATAATGGGGGGTAGAAATTCTTTAAGCAAATATCAGCATTGCAATTTTTTTTAAGTATTTAAGAGTGGGTCACCTCCTTGCTGTTTTCTCACTTTATCTTCATTTCCACTTTTCTCCTTCATTTTCCCCACAGTTTAAATAGTAAGTTCACGAGGTGTTGCTACTTGCTTTGCTGAGGGGAAAAAACAACAACACCTTTTAAGAGCAGATTCTTGTACTTCTAGCAAAGAAGGAGTTAAATGGTGTTCTTTGGAAGTCCTTTAACATTATCCAGATTTGGCTGAGAGATAGGATTATGCTGATGTCCTTTATTTTTCTCCTTAATTTACAAAGAGCTCTCTTATCTCAGACATTTTGGTGCTTTGTTGGAATTTTCAATTCTGCCGTGCAGCCTATTACGGAGTATTTTTCAGGAGAGCTGCAATCTGACCTTTAAATTGGGGCAGGATTCCAGCAAAATAGAGGCCTCCGGGCCAGAGCTTCTGCTCAGGTTGCTAACAGGAACGCACGCCCATCAGGTCGGCTGCGACATGGTGTCAGTTTGTCGTGCTGGTTCTTTCACCCACCTGAAAACTCTTAGGATGATTGCTTGCCAAATGCAGTGACAGGGCGGCCCGTTTATATTCAGTGAGCTCCTTGCTCAGAATGTTTGCCCTGGTGGATCTGAGGCGCTGTAAAGGAGGACAAGCAGTTCACGTCGGCACAGAAAGGAGGGAGACTAGGATCTGCCAGATTGTTGAAATCACAAAAATGACCCACTAATACGTCTACCATTCCTGACTTGCTGAGGGGACCTTGAGTGGCCTCCACGCCCATCTTTCTGCCTCTACACAGGACCACAGCAAAGCTGTTCTAGACAGAGAGCTTCCTGCCCACTGGGAAATCAGGTCGAGTACTCTGTCAATGTCTCAGGAATGTTTTAAATTTCAGCACATTTATCTCATATTTATCTTTAAGCACATTTACTCTTTCACACTTTTACTTATTCTTTGGACTATTAAGGGATATTCCCAATTTGGACAATAATTCACGGCTTGATGCTATAACAAACATGCCTAATTTTTAAATTATCTGATTACCACCAGAAAAATTAATTACAATAATGTAGGGCTTAAGTCCTGACTCTTGGGTTTTTTAAATTTGTGAAAAGCATAGCCTGTATGACCTAAATCTCCCCGAGTTCAACCTCCTCATCTCTCCTGGCGCTATGGAATGGCCAACAGAGGAACAGAGCTGAGGTTCCAAATCCCAATTCTGCTGTTACAAGCTGCATCTCCACAGTTCCATCATTCTTTTTTAAAAAAATATATTTTTATTTATTTCAGAGAGGAAGGGAGAGGGAGAGATAGAAACATCAATGATGAGAAAGAATCACCGATTAGCTGCCTCCTGCACGTTCCCTACTGGGAATCGAGCCCACAATCCAGGCATGTGCCCTTGACTGGAATCAAACCTAGGACCCTTCAGTCCGCAGGCCAACGCTCTATCCACTGAGCCAAACCAGCTGGGGCCACAGTTCTATCATTCTTAATGGAAAGCCCCAGTTTCTTCATCTACAAAATGTGAAGAAGCATACAGATGCTCCAAATAATTCAGGTAACAAATGTGAAAAGCATTTTATAAATGATAAATATTATAAAAGTGTGTCTATTTTCAGGGTTAACTCCCAAGTACCCCATGCTAGCTTGTTTGGGATCCACCCCTTTGCTCTTTTCTTTCTTTGCCCAACTTCCCCTCTCTGTTCCTTAGGGCCCAACTATCCTCCATGAAATGTTACTGCAACAGAAATTTCAGATCCTTCACAAAAACTACAACTACAGTTGAATCTTGAACAATAGAGGCTTGAACTGCGCGGTCCACTTATATGTGGATTTTTTTTTCTATAAATATCTGTATGGCCCTAGCTGGTTTGGTTCAGTGGATACAGTGTTGTTAATCCTCACCCGAGGATATTTTTTCCCATAGAGAGAGTGGAAGGGAGAGGGAGAGACAGAGAGAGAGAAACATTGATATGAGAGAGACACATCGATTAGTTCCCTCCGGCATGCACCCTAACAGGAGCTGGGGGTGGAGCCTGCCACCAAAGTCTGTACCCTTAATCAGAATCAAACCCAGGACCCTTCAGTCCACAGGCCGACACTCTAACCACTGAGCAAACTGGCTAGGGCTAGACAGAGCTTGTTTTAATTGGAGTTAGTACTTTGGCAGGCAAATACTATAGAAGGAAAGAGGGGCAACAAAACGGGGTGTATTCGAGGACCATGAATTGAAGTTGCCTAAGGAGGGAAGTAAAGGTATAATGGGGGGTAGAAATTCTTTAAGCAAATATCAGCATTGCAATTTTTTTTAAGTATTTAAGAGTGGGTCACCTCCTTGCTGTTTTCTCACTTTATCTTCATTTCCACTTTTCTCCTTCATTTTCCCCACAGTTTAAATAGTAAGTTCACGAGGTGTTGCTACTTGCTTTGCTGAGGGGAAAAAACAACAACACCTTTTAAGAGCAGATTCTTGTACTTCTAGCAAAGAAGGAGTTAAATGGTGTTCTTTGGAAGTCCTTTAACATTATCCAGATTTGGCTGAGAGATAGGATTATGCTGATGTCCTTTATTTTTCTCCTTAATTTACAAAGAGCTCTCTTATCTCAGACATTTTGGTGCTTTGTTGGAATTTTCAATTCTGCCGTGCAGCCTATTACGGAGTATTTTTCAGGAGAGCTGCAATCTGACCTTTAAATTGGGGCAGGATTCCAGCAAAATAGAGGCCTCCGGGCCAGAGCTTCTGCTCAGGTTGCTAACAGGAACGCACGCCCATCAGGTCGGCTGCAGAGGCCATGGTGTCAGTTTGTCGTGCTGGTTCTTTCACCCACCTGAAAACTCTTAGGATGATTGCTTGCCAAATGCAGTGACAGGGCGGCCCGTTTATATTCAGTGAGCTCCTTGCTCAGAATGTTTGCCCTGGTGGATCTGAGGCGCTGTAAAGGAGAACAAGCAGTTCACATCGGCACAGAAAGGAGGGAGACTAGGATCTGCCAGATTGTTGAAATCACAAAAATGACCCACTACTACGTCTACCATTCCTGACTTGCTGAGGGGACCTTGAGTGGCCTCCACGCCCATCTTTCTGCCTCTACACAGGACCACAGCAAAGCTGTTCTAGACAGAGAGCTTCCTGCCCACTGGGAAATCAGGTCGAGTACTCTGTCAATGTCTCAGGAATGTTTTAAATTTCAGCACATTTAGCTCATATTTATCTTTAAGCACATTTACTCTTTCACACTTTTACTTATTCTTTGGACTATTAAGGGATATTCCCAATTTGGACAATAATTCACTGCTTGATGCTATAACAAACATGCCTAATTTTTAAATTATCTGATTACCACAAGAAAAATTAATTACAATAATGTAGGGCTTAAGTCTTGACTCTTGGGTTTTTTAAATTTGTGAAAAGCATAGCCTGTATGACCTGATTCTCCGCGCGCGTTCAACCTCCTCATCTCTCCTGGCGCTATGGAATGGCCAACAGAGGAACAGAGCTGAGGTTCCAAATCCCAATTCTGCTGTTACAAGCTGCATCTCCACAGTTCCATCATTCTTTTTTTTTTTTTTTAATATATTCTTATTTATTTCAGAGAGGAAGGGAGAGGGAGAGATAGAAACATCAATGATGAGAAAGAATCACCGATTAGCTGCCTCCTGCACGTTCACTACTGGGAATCGAGCCCACAATCCAGGCATGTGCCCTTGACTGGAATCAAACCTAGGACCCTTCAGTCCGCAGGCCAACGCTCTATCCACTGAGCCAAACCAGCTGGGGCCACAGTTCTATCATTCTTAATGGAAAGCCCCAGTTTCTTCATCTACAACATGTGAAGAAGCATACGGATGCTCCAAATAATTCAGGTAACAAATGTGACAAGCATTTTATAAATGATAAATATTATAAAAGTGTGTCTATTTTCAGGGTTAAGCCCATGCTAGCTTGTTTGGGACCCACCCCTTTGCTCTTTTCTTTCTTTGCCCAACTTCCCCTCTCTGTTCCTTAGGGCCCAACTATCCTCCATAAAATGTTACTGCAACAGAAATTTCAGATCCTTCACAAAAACTACAACTACAGTTGAATCTTGAACAATAGAGGCTTGAACTGCGCGGTCCACTTATATGTGGATTTTTTTTTCTATAAATATCTGTATGGCCCTAGCTGGTTTGGTTCAGTGGATACAGCATTGGCCTGCGAACTGAAGGGTCCCGGGTTCAATTCTGGTCAAGGGCACATGCTGGGGTTGTGGGTTCCATCCCCAGTGTGGGGCGTGCATTAGGCAGCCAATCAATGATTCTCTCTCATCATTGACGTTTCTATCTCCCTCTCCCTTCCTCTTTGAAATCAATAAAAACATATTTAAACAAATAAAAAGAAACCAATTTTTTTAAAAATCAAATAAATACCTGTATGGTTTTTGATCTGTGGTAGTGAGTTCATGAATGCAGAGGGATGACCATATACATTGATCTATGCCATTTTATGTAGGGGACTTGAGCACCCGCTGATTTTATTATCTGTGGTAGTCCTGGAACCAATCTTAAGTTCAGGGGGAGTCAAAAATTAGATACAGATTTTCAACTGCATGGGGGTTGGTGCCCCTAACCTCCACATTGTTCAAGGGTCAACTGGATAGCCAAAGAAGAAATTATACAGGCACCTTCTTCCTGCTAAACACACTTCTTAGGGGGTACTATAAGGCTGGGCAAAGGAGGAAAGAGGTAAGAAAAGGCAGGTTGCCCTGACTGGTTTGGTCAGTGGATAGAGCGTCGGCCTGCGCACTGAAGGGTCCCAGGTTCGATTCCGGTCAAGGGCATGTACCTTGGTTGCGGGCACATCCCCAGTGGGGGGTGTGCAGGAGGCAGCTGATCGATGTTTCTCTCTCATCGATGTTTCTAACTCTCTATTCCTCTCCCTTCCTCTCTGTGAAAAATCAATAAAAAAACATATTTTAAAAAAGAAAAGAAAAAGGAAAGGCAGGTTGGAGATGCCAGTGACAAGAGAGCAGGAGACAGGAGAAGAAAGAGCACAGGGGGACCAAAGAATCCACTAAAGAGGGAGAAGCCCAGGACTCACATCACCCCCAAGCCTCTGAACCCGGCAAGGAAAAGGAAGGGCGTAGACAGCAGGATTCCAACAAACCATGAAAGTATATCAAAAGAAGTTTATACACAAAAGAGCAAAGGAAGCACAAGAGAAGAAAATTCTTTTCAGGGAGGGGAGTATCCGGTGGCTGTTGCAGGTAGGCACTGTCATAAACTGAAGTTACAGTGTAAACTGCTGAGAATAGTTTAATGAGAGAATGTGATTCCTACATCCAATTACTAGAAGGAAAGTATAAATCACTTGTTATATTTGTATTGCAGATAAAATTCTATTATGACCAATAAAATATAGAAGAGAGACTTGCTTAAAATGTGGTTAGGATTCATGCTTTTACGCTCTATCCATGTGATGGAGAGAATGTAGGAGATAAACTTGGAGCAATACTCATTCCCCTCTGCATGTTTCCCACCCTCAAGGAATCAAGTGGTACTCGGCAATAATCTGGAACAGGAAGACAGGTGTGATGGACACCAGGTGTGGGAATTGGAAGAATGAAGGAATTGGAGGAGGAACCACCACTAAGGAATGAACTGAGATACACAGAGGGACTAGAGTGGCCTAGATGGAGCAGCAATTCTCTTAGGGACTAGCCTCTTCCTAGTGGAATTTCTTGAGAAAGGAAACTGTTAATGTCCAAGTCTACCTTGTAATTAAAGGGAGCTAACAAGCCCATTTGCAGACCTGGGTCCCATCATCACCCAATCCTCAATCTCTCCTGACCTGTATATAATGTGTCTTTCTCTCAGCCTGGGTAAAGACAGTAGCAGACCATAGTATAGAAACCAACATTAGGGGTAGCAACCAGGATAGTGAGCTAAGGTTGAGAGAATTATATTTTGCATCTTCAAACTCCACAATGAACAAAACCACAGAGGTAAAATATTTGTTTCACATTCCAAAAGGATCCTATGACTCATGTAATTCCTTTTCCTTGACTGGTCCTTCTCTTTCTGATCACTTCCATCTCATCTCAGGCAAACCTAACCTTTGTTACCCTACCGTGAGCACAGGATGGGTTTCCCATAGGGTGGTGTTTTGAGATTCACCAAGTTAATTTCATTCCTGCTTTGGCTGCTCTGAAATCAGCCACTTTATGCAAAATTGAATGTAAGTGCTGTATTTATTTTATTTAATTTATTTTTTAAATTCTTTATTGTTGAACGGATTACACATGTCTCCTTTTTCCTCCATTGACCTCTCCCAGCCAGCCTGCCCGGCACAGGTCCTCACCCCCCTACTGTCTGTGTCCACTGGTTATGCTTATATTTATGCATACAAGTCCTTTGGTTGATCTCTTAACTACCCTCCCCACCCTCCCCCGTCTTTTCTTTGTGGTTTGATGGTCTGTTCAATGCTTCTATGTCTCTGGATCTATTTTTCTTCATCAATTTATGTTGTTCATTATATTCCACAAATGAATGAGATCATATGATATTTATCTTTCTCTGAATGGCTTGTTTCACTTAGCATAATGCTCTTCAGGTCCATCCATGCTGTTGCAAATGGTAAGAGTTCTTTCTTTTTTACAGCAGCATAGTATTCCATTGTGTAGATGCACCATTGTTTTTCAATCCACTCATCTGCTGATGGGCACTTAGGCTGTTTCCAAATCTTAGCTATTGTAAATTGTGCTGCTATGAACATAGGGGTGCATATATTCTTTCTGATTGGT